AGGTTTTGCTAGCTCGGGGCCCCCCTCCTGCTCTCCCTCCCCCCCCTCGGCTTGTCCTGCTCTTCCTGCCATGGGCCCTGGGAAGGTTTTCACCGGGGCAGGCCTGCACCAGAACGTCCCTGTTCTGACCCCCCCACACCGTGACTTCTGCCCCTGCCTGGTGGGGCCTTAACCCAGGGGAAACTGAGGCCTGCCAGCTGGGTGGCTTGGTTCTGTTCCCCCTTCTCCTGAGAACTGGCACGGAAATAAATTATTTTCTAACAGCTTGGCTGCTTGCTGGGGGCAGAGTTCTCCAGGTGCATGGTTGGCCGGGGTGATGTCGAGGGGGTTCTGAGGTGCACGCTCCGGAGTGGGGGTGGGAGGGCTTGTCATGGTATCTATCAGGAATCTGGGTGGGGGGGCGCCAGCAGCTGATCCTCTCACCTGGGTTTTGGCTCTGTTCCTGGCCTCTCCCTCCTGCTCTGACCACTAGGCCGAGCTGCCCAGGCCTGGTTCGCACTGTCACAGCTAGCGGAGGGGGAGGGGTGTTTCTGCTTCTTTAATGCTTCCTCCCCCAAAATATCCTGACAGACGGTCAAAGAGGGGGCAGCCCTGGAGCCTGCGGACCAACTAGGGCTGGATCTCAGGTGCTGGTGAATTCCTGCAGCTCTGAGTTCAGAATCCTGCTGGCTGCAGGGATGTTAGTTCAGCGCCTGGGGGCTGAGCCTGCCCAGGACTCCTGGGTCCCTGGCCACGCTGGTGCCTGTGGCTGGGGAGGGGTCCCGGTTCGAGGAGCGCTCGGTTTGTTTGTGAGGGAGGTACGGGGAGGGAGGAGCAAACGGGGGCTCTAGAGCTGGTGCTTTGTCTCGGGTTTCCGGAGGTGGCCTCCCTGGGGCAGGCTGTCCCGGCAGCAAATTGTGCTTGTGACTGGCCCTTCCTGTGCCTGAAGCCCCTCGGTTGATCCCGCCTGGGTGCTGGGCTCCCATGATCTGCCTTGGCCTTAGGAGAGTCGGTGCGGAGACCTCCGTGCAGAGCTGGTGTGGGCACCGGGCTGGTTCAGCTCGCCTGGGCTTTTCTGCACCCAGCACTTGGGCTGTGGGTGGCCTGGGCAAGGCCGGGTGTTCACACTCGTGTGCGTTTAAGGTGTGGCCCTGTAACAGCCCATCTCTGGGGTGCAGTCACAGAAGCCCCCTTGGGCTTGTTCCCCGATGTGTGGATCCTGCCGCTGACACCCTCCTTCCTGCTCTCGGGGGCTCCCCACCCCCTGTCCTGCTGGGCCAGGTCCTCTGGTCTCCAGACAGGGCACAGAGTTGGGGTAACCCGGAAGAGCAACAGACACTGAACCACTTCAGCTCTGGGAGGACTCAGTTCTAGGGCACAGCACCCAGGAACCCAACCCCCAAAAGATCAAAGCCCCAAATCAATCCGCCTATCTCTGTGTAAGAGTTTTACACAAGGAAAGTTCATGAGGACGTTCACCCTCTTGGTCAATGAAAGAGAGAGATGCGCACTGGTTGCTCCCCCACAGGTAACCATGATTTACACTGGGCCTGATAGTAAACAAAAGTGTTTTTATTACAGACAGATCAAAGTAAGTTACTAAGTTAAAATGAAAAAAAAAATGCAGAACGGGTGCTAATTCACTGAAAAAACGTACTGCAGGCACATTCTTACCCTACCGAGCTGTTCCCATTTGAGGGATGGTTTTCAAGTCACAGGTGATTTTTTACTCTGACTTGGATCTCCAGGCTGATGGTATCCCCTTGCTTAAATCGTCCTTCCCCCAGGGCGGCAACCTTTTGTTCTACCTCCTCCCGCTTCTGTGGAAAACTCTCAGGGTCAAAATGAAATGCCGGCATGAGGTGGGGTAGTCACATGTCTTACTCTTCCAATCACTTTTGGACGCGCAGGACAAACAAGTCTGTTTTCAAGTCATTAAGTTGATTGCCAAGTCGTTAAAACTTTTGGGGGCGGGGCACCAGTAATGTCTCTAGCACATTTTAAACTATAAACTGTCTCATGCTTTATAGTGCTAACTTTTCGTGCACGAATGATACATAGGCTCTACAGGTCTAGCAGGCTGCAACATTAAAACTGATCAGTTACATGAGGTGTTTTTTCCAAAGCATCTCTGCATCTCCTAGTTATGCATATTTACATTCATATGGAAAACTTCATAAAGCGTGTGTGTGTGTGTGTGTGTGTGTGTGTGTGTGTGAGACCGTCACACCTGGCATTGCAGCACTGAAAGTCCCAGTGAGCTGCTATGCCGGTGGGGAGACGGTGGGGGGGCATAGTTAGTCAAGGTTGGCAGCATGGAAAGGGAGAGTCGACTTGGGCAAACGGGCAGATGTGAGCCACTGGCTGACACCCTGGGTTGGCCTCTCGGGTGCCAAGATTCTCTCCCTGTCTTGGGCACTGACTCGGGGGGACCAACACCCCGGGCCTCAATTTCCCCTTCGAGCCACTGGGGACAGTGGCTTAGAAAAGGATGTGGTTCTGGTTGAGCTGTGGTGGGGGCTGGTGTGCCAGGCTGGGCCTCTGGGTACAAATCCCAGCTCTGCCACTGAGCTCCCAGGTAGCATTAGGCCATGGCTTGGTGCCTCAGTTTCCCCTCTTGCCCTTTGTGTATTAGGCTGTGAGCTCTGTGAGGCAGGGACTGTCTCAGGGCCTGGGCTGCATCTAAAGGACCCTGTTTCTGAGATTTCTGTTCACTGGCTTCACTGCAAAATTGAAAGAAAAACTTTGGTCCAACCAAAGTGAAAACTTTTTCCTCGAACAAAAATGTGTTGTATTAAAAAAAAAAAAAAAGGGCTTCATCTTTGACCTTTTCAAAACTTTTCTTTAATAACATAAAAATCAGATTCCTAACCAAAAGTGAATTAGAATTAAAAAATAATCACAGCCCATCATTTTGGAAATGCTGAAACAAAAAGTTCTCCATTTGCAAAATGTCTCGAGGGACCTGAACCTCCAGTTTCCCAGGCAAGGAAATGTTGGTTGAAAAATGTCTCCCTGCTCTAGTTCTGAGTGGAACAGCTGGCCTGGCTGTTTGCTGGTTGGTACCTTTGGTGTTCTTTGGGTGGGGGTAGTTTGACTCACAGAAGCATCGGGTTAGAAGGGACTGTCAGCATCAGCTAGTCTAACAAAGGCCTTGTCACCTTGTGTTTTGTCACCAAAACTTGCCTTTTTGATGACAAAACAGTGAAAGCGTTTACACTGCAATGCAACTTTTGTTGGGAAAAACACCCACTTTTGGTGACAAAAAACTTCCAACCATGCGAGCGACTTTTGTCTTTTCCCCTCCCGTTATTGTTGACAAAGAGCCAGGGTAGGCTCTGCTGTTTGTTTTGTTGAGAGAACTCACTTCTTCCAGTATCCCACCATGCCTGCCCTGGTGGCTCTGCTCAGTGTTTTGTGATCTCTGCTGCCCTGCAGGCCTGCGCCGCTCCCCTTTCAAAGCTCCGCAAAGTGTCTGACAGATAAGGGAGCTGCTCCCTTTGGGGAACAAACAAACAACAAATCATTGGACTGCTTCTGTTCCGCCCAGCTAGGAACCCAGCGGCAGGCAGGCGGCTGCTGCAGGGGGAGGGCCGGAGAGACGGCTGTGCTGCTCTGACATTCCTCGGCTCGGGGAGCTCCCAGAACTACGAGGGCATCCCAAGAAGTGCAGGCATCAACTCTGCCTTCCTACCGCCCTGCCCTGAGGGATGCTCCCCACAATGCCTTGCTCTGTCTGTCCATCGGGGAGCTAGCACCATGGCCATGAAAGGTCGACAATGGGAGCTAGAAAAATGGGTTTGAAAATGGTTTTCACTTCTGGCGACTTTTGCACGGCGCCAGCACTTTGGTCGCCAAACCTTCCCCGGGCGACAGGGCCGAAGGCGCCGGATTTCTTGTGTCTAAACTCTCCAGGGGAGATGGCTGTTTCAGGAAGGAGCAGAGAGGTTGTATTGCCTCTAGATTTGGCTCCATGGGCGGTGGGGGCATGGGAAGGCGCTGCCTACATGCCCTGGCTGCTTGGGAAAGCCGGGGCTGCAGTGTGGCAACCCGGCTCCCCGGGAGCAGTGGAAGGCTGGGGGCCCGGCCGGCGAACAGCGGGGCCCGCC